CAGACGTACTATGTAGCTCTGTGGGGAATGGGGATAGATGGAGATCAAGATCAGCATCCTAGTCGGTGTGTGTATGGTCTCTAATTCGGTCTTGCCAGTAACAGAACTTTAAGATTTCGCTATCTACCTACGATTTCGAGGACTTACGAAGAACAGATTGAAACGAAACATATTGTATTGCAATCCATGACCTAACCAAAAAACTACGAGCCAGGTACAAACCTGGTTCTACGGCAGTGATGTCGACCCAAAAGATGGACCACTGTACCCACGGAGAGAAGCAAGCTCCCCTCCAAGGATACCGCGGTGAGTAGAGGGTCAAGTGTTGATCTTCTTTGCGTAAAATAAGCCTATACCACGTTGCGTGAGTTCAATCCAGGCCCGAAGGCGGGAAAGAACGGTAAGAGCCAGAGTGTTGCAAAGGTCATCTGAGGGGACGCGACTCCATGATCCAGCTCGCATTTGGAAAAGCAAGCAAACCACGAGAAGCACAGAGCAAGGAATGGAGAGAAGGGACGGACAGCCTAGCGAAAAAGCATAGGATTTCTGAGAAGAACATAATTGGGAATCATAGGTCATAACTCGTAAGAAGCTTTTGTCGGGGTAATGATCATATATTCTGTAACTAGCATGTCGTTACAAACCGAATTGACGACCGCCGCACTTTTAGATCATTTATTCCTCAGGAACTAATTTCAATGTTAGTTTCACTTCGGCAAAAGTGTACTCAACAGGACTTACCATCGATCTCGCCAGCCTTGACGTCGTCAGAGACATCCTTGGGGCTGCGGCCATCGACCTGGCAGCCGACGGAGAAAGCGGTACCGAGGATCTCAAGGACGGTACCCCGGAGCTCCTTGGCGAGAGAGCGGTGACGCATCTGGCGCGCAATCTCAACGATCTCGTCGAAGGCGATGGACTTGTTGTGCTTGATGTTCTTCTCCTTCTTGCGGTCACGAGGAGGCTCCTTGAGGGCCTTGATGACCAGAGAGGAAGCGGAAGGCACGACAGAGACCGTAGCCTGACGGTTCTGGATGGTGAGCTTGACAGTCACACGGAGACCCTTCTATAAAGCCGCAAAATATTCATATTAGCGATCCGGTTACTCTTCATCTTTCGATTCCTTCTGATTCTTACCCAGTCACCAGTGTTCTTGGCAATATCTTCACCGATCTTCTTGGGGGACAGACCGAGAGGACCAATCTTGGGAGCCAGAGCGGACTGGGCTCCGACCTCACCACCAGTCACTCTCAGGTGACTATATAATGGTTAGCTCTGTCGCTGAAGAATTTTGCGACGCGAACAGAAGATGAACTTACATGACCTTCACCTCATTGGGATCGAACTTGGGAGCTGCCCAATGGGTGTTATATTAGTCGCCATTTTTGTTATAGCCAAGGAGATGATACTTACGCATGGCGAGTGCGAAAGGTCGTCAATCGTCCTTGGAGTGTTGGTCGGGGTGGATGGTACGAAGAAGCAAAATAGAAGTTCACAAAATTTCCTTAAGAAGTTGAGGACATTTTAGCTTGGCCCGCACCTCCGGCTAAGCGAAATCTCTAACGGGGAAAGATCCTAGGGCTAACCCCACCATGGTCACATGACCTCTGCCATACTGACGGTGTCTTTCCAGACGCTGTATGTAGAGATCCTTGTCGATACCGTCTATTGTTATTTGGAATGATCACCATTGACTTACGCACTTGCTATATTGTGGGTAAAGAGCAGGAAAATGAAAACCAAGACAAAATCATCGCTAAAGATACAAGTGACCCGAGGACCGACGTCTAACCGCCCTTTTTCTCTCGCTATGGCCATCACCTCGTCATGTCTAGCTAGTTCCGGAAACCGCAAGTCTAGATTGGTGGGTCAGCATCATTCCTGACATTTGTAGAACGTGTTGGGATAGCATACTTCATCAAATGATCCATGAACGTTTGCAACGAGACATCATCAGTGAAGATAGTCTGCGACGTCACGCCTCCGCCGTAACCTCCTGTCGTATGTGTAGTAGATGGGTTCAACTTGGACAAGAGGAAACGCGCTTGAGATCCTCCGGCGTCACAGACGATGAAACGAGGCAGTGGGAAACGGTCAGCGATCAATTCCTATTCATGAAGTTAGCTTGTGCCTCGTATTATAACCGCAGTGGATGGACCAACCCTAGCATCCTCCTTAGGCTGCTCCAAGAGAGCCTTCAGGTTTTCATAACCTTCCTGATCCTGATAGCCTGCTTTCCTCCATTCCGCAATGGTCTCTCCGTGGAAAATTAGGATATGGAAGAAAGTGTCGAGGAGAAGGATGTGAGTGGGCTGGATTGAAGCCGAGTCGAGAAGAACAGGCTGGCTTCCCTCATGTTCCAGAGAATACGAATCCAGCGTGGGCTGAATCATTACAAGGGCGTCGCCAACATCCTCATGGTTGAGGACGTGCCTGTAGAAAGCTGTCTCGTCAGGCGAGTTGTTGAACACCTGCAAGAACTGGCTGCGACGGAGGTGGAACATGAATTGGGGATAAAGCGTGAAGTTCTTTTCCAGGCGGAATGAGGTTGGGTCATCCTTCCGGTAGTCCGCGAAGCGAGAGCAGAGTCTGATGAGCATGCGATCAACCCATCTGATAACGTCTGGTCCATCGTCGACATCTGCCTTGTAGACAGCAATACGTGCCATCAGCACGGCAGCAGCCTCCTGATCAAAGGACTGTGCGAGGGTCGGGTCCCCGGTTGGGCCACTCAAGGGGCGTGCAACAGTTGTGACTCGGAGATGATAATGACCAGAAGCGTGCTGGTAGTAGGTCAAGAATTGCATCATACCCCGCTGAGGGCCTGGTTGCACGGCTGCAGGACCGCCCTGGTTGGCAATCTCGAAGTACACTCCGTAACTTGAGGACGGATCAATGCCGCACATTTTCCAGGCACAGGTGTTGCCAATACCACACTCTGTTTCTCCAACCGAACTTGACTTTTTGTTCAGAGAAACGGCATGACCGATAAGTCCAGTGACCTTGAGCTCCTTTGTAGTCAGGACTTCAAGAGAGGCGTTGAAGCCCATCAGGAGGTTATCGTTGGCGTCCTTATCGAAAACCCGAACAAACGACTGCTTGAACTGTGACGACGTGAAGCTGTCCGTAAGGAGCATATGACCTCCAGTGAAGTTGGCCAGGTTCTTCATTTCCAGAAGACCGACTTGGTCCAGGCAGCCGGCAAAAACGTCGACAACGTGTCCGTTGTTAGCCGCGCGCTTGGCCAGGGCGTCGTAGAACTAAATCGATCAGCATGGGAGCAGCCCGTATGAGAAGATGAAATGACGCCTACCTTGACAGCCTTCTTGTAGTACTTGATATTATCCCGGTCGATATCGTGATGGGAACGCATTGGCTCCTTCAGCTCAGGTCCAACGACGTGACCGGGGCCTTCCGTAGCGGGACCGCTGGTGAAAACCATAATGCGCCCACCAGCGTTCTGGAAGGATGTCTCGAGCAGGCCAACAGCAACACTCAGAGCCACACCAGTGCATCTGAGGGGTCGCTTGTCATTGGCAACGGGCCAAGGATCACGCTGCAGCTGTTCGAGGACATTGGTGATCTGGAACTCGGCTTGCTGAACGGGTAGCAGGAAGCGCGCAGCGGGACCAACAGGCGGGCGAGCAGGTTGCTGAGGCATGTTTGGACGAGGTCCAGCGGCGAGGAGTCCGAGCATCTCCTGGACCTGCTTCGCCGCATACTCCTTGCTGCCTCGGAAAACGTACGACTTGGCACATTCGGTATATCCAAGCTCGTGAACTTGGGCCTATCCTCATGAGGTTAATAGGTCATTCGAAACCAAAGAAAGGTATTCGGTTCGTACCATTGTGCCATAAGTGATCAATCCAACCAGAGCATTCGGCGGCAGCAAAGACAAGCTCAGAATCAGAGTATCCTTCAAAGCCTTCAGACTGTCTTCCTCTTGACAAGTATCGACGACGTAGACAAAGATAGGGGGAGCGGGAGCGGGGCGCGCCAATTGGTATTCGATCGTCGTGCTCTGAGGGTGCAGTTCCGGGGGTATCGCATTCTCAGTGATGTCCTTATAGTGAGGGGGAAGGGGATTGCGCATGAGGCAGAAAGGGCAAATCCAGATCCGGGCCCGAACATCGACGTTGCTGTCCTTGGTCAGTCACGCGCTGCAAGCTCAGAGCCGACAGGGGCCTAGGTCATACGCGTAGGGGTTCAGGACAGCCCGACAGGGTGCTTTGCAAGTTACCGGCTCATATTGTAGTAATGGCGAATCGGGCTTCTCCTTCAGGGGAGTGTAAACGGCGGCAATAGGGACAACAAGTCGGGACGCTTCCTGTATGCGAACGTGAATGAGTACGGAGGCGCATGGACGCGATGCAATCCCAGTAAACCAACCATGCGAGTGCTAGGAAACGTGTTCCAGCTGAGCCTGATGCCGTCACGATCTTCGACATCGCTCCATTGATCCTTCAACGCTTCGTAGTCCATCGTGCGGTGATGGGGGGTTGGATAGGAGGGGGTGTTTATCGATTGAGCCCAAAGCTGCGGACCAAACAAGGAACCCTATGATCACTTCGACTATATATTAAGAACAAATTTCTGTAGCATAATCTTATCTTCAAGTGACCGACGCCAACAGCTTTTGTCCGGGATCTAGATGTGGATCTGGGGGTGTATGTTGTGTGAAGCTGGTCCTGTTGGCATGAGGCCAGGTTGCAGCATCCTTGGTTGCTGCCGACAGCCGTAGCGTGCACTAGCGCTCCGCCTTCACTGCTTTAAATACTTCCGGGCTGCCCGCTTCCCGTCAACTTTTTTTTTTTTCTTCTTCTCATCAACAACCGCCGATAACATACATCAACAGCTTCTGTCTCTTGTCATGATGAAGCTGTTTTCGCGTCGCGCGAAGACTGACCTTACCCGACGCTGGGCACCTAGCTTTGAAAGGTCGTTCCGATCCTTTGCGATAATCTGGGAATCAGCTGTGGTTACAAATGACTTCGTACAATTTGCTCTTTAGAGACCTAAGCTATATACAGTAGTAATGCAGAAATCACTACACATAATACTTTGAGTGTTTTGATACTTGGCATTCTCAACACATAATCCGGATGTTGCGTCCTGCAATTCCCATAACCAAAACGCCTCATGAGAGAAAGTACCTGGCCACAAAGATAGAAAAGCATAGCTTCGTCAAACCGTCTCTGCAACTCATGCATCCTTGGGAGGCTTCCCCATTTGTTTCAGGAGATAGCTGCGCTTGAAGTAGGTGTTCGGATGGACTATGGTGTCCAAATCTGTCTGACTCCAAGTACCGTCTTCCTTGACTCGCTTGATATCCGCTTTGTGCGCCCATTCAAAGACCCTGTTACAAGCAATATGATAGCGTGTCTTTTCAACATCCTCGCGCACGCCTCGTAGAACGTCCTTGTCATGGACGCCTGTGGACTGAAGTAGTCCGATGAGATTATCGACGGAGAAGTGACGGTAGGGGCACCCATGAGTCTGGCCAACTCCGGGGTTGGAGTCGTTGAGGATCTTTTGGCAAGAGTAAGGAGGGTATCCCCGACCTCTTCGATTCACGTCACCGCCGACGTCACCATAAGCGTGGCGGATATTGTATTTGTACCGAGAATTAAACTCGTCGTCTGTAAAGCCTTTGAAGGACTGTCGCCAGAAAATGATGCACTCTTCAAGAGACAGGCCGATTCCTTTCAAGAAGAGCGTATATTGGAGTCGACCGAAGTGCTTCAAGTGGTTGTTCTTGCGCAACGTCATGTGTAGACTCCGCATGCAGAGAGGGAAGTGCTGCGAAAGGCGATCGATGTTACTGGCAGTAATTGGTGCTCCTTCGACAAACCCTTCGCCTTCAGAGTATACTGATTCTGCGCTACCGAAGTTCTTCGACAGGTGATTCAGGATTGGCGTAAGACGATCATCCTCATCCAATCGTGGAAGAGCCCGGCTCGTGAGCTGGTAGTGGTCAGCCAACTCATAACACCCACAGTGCAGTGTAAAGGAGACTCATACCTCGAGGGCGCGCTCCAATCGTGCCGTAAATTCGGCTATGATCATACTCAATTGTTCTCTGCCAGGCACATATGCCCTCCCCTTGGACAGAAACACAGCTCTCCTTTCGACAAGCTCTGGCACTCGCTCCCAGTCCACTTTGTACCAAGTCTCCTCATCAACACGCCGCAGACCGGGTGTCGCGCTCACCAATTTCTCAGCAACCTCGCGTCTCTCCTCATCACTCACAGGTTCCCAATCCAGATTTAAGGACTCAATAAAGGCACGTTTCTCTCGAGTGTCGTCATGTTGAAACCGAAATCTGAACAGCATTGTCTCCGCCCGCACGAAGCGTCGGCGGAGGTCCTCGGTTGCCGAAAACGCAAGGCGAAGGATGAAGTGGGAATAATGATCTTTCTGGCGTTCATTCTTTAGACGCTGATCTGATGCACCGGAGGAAGAGGATGTATTGGAGGAAAGTGGCAGATATTTCTGCAGGAGAGGATTGATATGCGCCGCTGTCTCCGCAGCCGACTTATTTCGATAGGAACAGGCTTCGATTTCGGCCAATACTGGACAGAACTATGAGCGGATGAACGCATCACGTTAACAGAAAGCACCATTCATACCCTTGAGTCTGTCGATGGCCCATTGCTCAAACTGCTCGAGTGTGATCTCCGCGGTTGGGGGAATATCGTAGAAATTCAGACGGTGCGGGTAATCTTGCTGTTTGTATACCGGCGATGCGAACTGCTTTTTCTTGTGGTCCAAGGTCGCTCTTCTCTTTGGATCAATTTTCTGAAAATCTTGCCGAATCATTTTTGGATTGCAGTCCGGAATGACATCCGAATCTATCTGTGCGCGAATATTGTGTTCAAATGGTAGTCTTGTAGAGACACCGTCGAGACTCCAATATCGACCACTTTCACGAACCTCACGCGAGACGCGCTGGACACGCGTCGATCAGTAAAGGCACGTGACTGTCCCTTCGCCCTTTCCAAAGTTCTTCAGCCTCAGGCATCAATTTTCGACAGCCGAGGAACGCTTGGATCCGTCCAAAAAGTCCCGGTAGCTTCGAATTACGGGGTTTGCCCGTGTGGACTCGGCTGTGGAGTCGTTACCGCTGAAAGGGTTGTTCATGCACGCGATTGGACTTGGAAGTATCAATGCATGCATGTGAAAGAGAGTACCACTTATACTGCGGAGACAATATCGCATGTCATCGGTCATCGCGACTATACGTCCTCTGATATAGATGTATCCTCCAATGCCTGGCATACAAGTAACCTTCTGCTGCCACCAAAGGGTCGTATAGACTCATCGGACTCCCCTCCGACCTCCGCTCACCGATTTCCTAATCAAGAAGACGGTGCTAAACCCCACGGAATTCGTCCCAAGCTCTGCGTCGAGTGCCGGAGTTAATTTCGAACACTTCTGCAGTTTCAGTGTTTTGATCGACAGGTCATATCTATATGATTCCCGACAGTTACGGCCTCTGTCAATCTGCGGCTCAAGTACCTTACTTTTAGATAATCGATTCGACTATGTACATCACATGATACCTGAAGTCTCAACCCTCCCTTTGTTATCAATTGATTATATCCAGCAGCATTGCGACTAAGGACCAAAGAATCTGAGGAGCTGTCGGAACGTTGGGCGGCTCATAATCCCCCTTCGAAGAGCGTTTCAGGATCAGCACACGGGCGAAGAAAGGGGATGAACTCAATCACTCGGCAGCTTAAAAAGGCTGCGCGTATCATCCTTATTGGCGCGCCTGGCGTAGGGAAAGGAACTCAGACAGAGAGGCTCCTCGCACGATATCCAGAGTTATCCTCGATCAGCTCGGGGGACCTGTTGCGCGAAAATGTGCGGAAGAAGACACCGTTAGGTAAATTAAATCATCTTATCCAGTCTCACAAGCGCATGACTCTAACTGTCTTGTCCGCTCAAAGGTCTCAAAGCAGAGGCCGCAATGCAGGCTGGCAACCTCGTTCCCGATTCCATGATCCTCGAGCTCATCTCCTCCGAATTCAAGTCCAAGGGCTGGCTCCCTGCAACAGCACCTCTCGCAACGGCCACGTCAAATCACACATCTCGTCCGACCACATCGTTATCCCCCTCTGCCTCGTTCATCCTCGATGGGTTCCCACGAACCGCTGCCCAAGCGTCGAGCTTGGACACCATTGTCCCCGTCAATTTTGTCGTTCATCTTGTCACACCACCATCCGTTATTCTCTCGCGAATCGCATCGCGCTGGGTCCACGAACCGTCCGGGAGAGTGTACAACACCGATTTCCACGTTCCCAAGGTCCCTGGCAAGGACGACGTGACTGGGGAGCCTCTGACACAAAGGCAGGACGACTCGCTTGATACATGGAAGCAGCGATTGCACAAGTTTGAAGAGACTAGCAAGGCTTTGCTGGAGTACTATGAGCGGAAGGGCTGCCTGTGGCGTGTGGAGGGCGACTCTAGCGATGAGATTAGCCCAAAGCTCTTTGCAGAGGTTGAGCGGAGGTTCTGTTGAGACTTGCCAGTTGGACATTTTGCTGTTGAGCTTTAAGCGGCATCATATGCTATTGGTTGGGAAGACACGGGCAAGACTTACAATCACGCTTTTCGTTGTTATGAATTGGGTATCTTCTGCATGAGTCCATATGTTATGAACTCGATGGTCGGGATTAAATGTTTGACTCCATGCAAACACAGGCTACATCTACGTGACAGATATATAGTCTCCTAACCTATCAAAGCCCGTGACGAAATTTATGCACACGAAGCTTTCCAGGATATCAACATCATACATGAAAGGCAAAGGATATCAAGCGTAACGTCGTGACAGCAGGCTATAGACACCAAAATCACCCTGAGTTCATATCCCTGGCCTTGCCTCATTTCTTAGTTTCAACCCGGGGCTGCGCAGCCTCCTCCAGTCCCATACGCGTCTTGTACTCTCTGGGACTCTCCCAGTCTGTCTTATTGCGGCGATAGTCTTTCCACAGCCCAACACCCTCAGCTTCGCCCACCACTCCGCCTTCTTATACTTACGCTCCATGGCCTCACCACCGAACTCCGCACCCATTTTCGCTTCGTATACAGTCGCGAGCCCCCGCTTCAGCATCTCGTACGACACGTCCCGACGACGAAAGGGCGGAAAGTCCAGAAGCCGGCGCACGTAGACACTAGCGACCGCACGCTGATACTGGTCCGGACGATGGATGTAGGCGCGGACTCGATGGCCGAGAAGATACGAGGTAAGCCATTGGTGTGCTTCGCGGGCGAACGGCTGTTCGGGACGGCCAAAATGTGCGAGCTCGGGGGCGTCGATCCCAGCTAGACGAATGTGGACCTGAATTTCAGTATGAGGCATAGTTCGCAACCCTCCTTGGCCACAGGCAACAGCAGGCAGAAAACAGAGGTTAAACGCACCGTCTTATCTCTCAATTCCTTCTTCGACGTCGGAATCTTCTTCCACGGCAGCCATCCCCACCCCGCAAGTCTTCCGCCAGGTGTGTGATATATCCGAAAGTTATCCCCATCGCCAACACTCGTGACCTGGCCCAGCAGACTCCTGCGACGGAAATACGACGGCGTGATGCTCACTGCGTCGGGGAACCGGCGCAGATAGCGGCGATGGATGTAGAATGCGCCCAGGAAACCGCTCGTCAGAATCAGGGTTGGGATGATCGTTCTGGCTTCTGTAAAGGCAGCCCAGTCTATCGCTGTTACCGAGGACTCCCAGTCCTTCTTTTTTGAGGCTGTGGTGGATTTCGCAGCGGCTTGTCTTTCATCGTGTTCGGATGAGTCTTTCGCGGTTTGTTGCTGGGCTTGCGAGTCGGAAGCCCATGGCGGCCATCGCATGACGGCTCATAACCTCGCTCCTGCTTGTTTGGAGGTTTGAGTCTGCGGAGAATTGGCCAGATAGGACTGGCAATCCGGAGCTCGATGACAATGGTGAGAAGCGCAGTTGGTAATTAGTGTTGTTTATGGGAGGGTTGGGCGGTCAGACCCGAAATATATATCCCGTTGTCCGAGGCAGTATATTTTGCGGACAGACTAGACGAAGCTACATTGACCACGGCGCTTCGTCTCGAACAATATCAAAATCATATTCTGCCTTTTAAAATCCTTAATAATGTCTGCTACTGCTAACACGCAATACAGCTGATTTATATAGAGGATTCGTCTGTATACCTTATCGATATCCGACTCTAGCGCGAGATCCCTGACACATATGGCCACTATGTAACCATCAGATTTTGCATTACGCAGGTCTATCCTGGATATACACCTGGTATAGTTCATACTCTATATATCATGGCTGCCTCTCAGAATATACAAGAGGCTCAAAAAAACCTTTGAGGAAAGCCTGCGAATATACAACCCAAGCGCCTGGAAGAAGAAACAGAAATGAAGGTGGACGGAAAATCGTCGTCGCTGAACAAGAAAATTAAAGGCGACCGAGGCAGAGATTCTATTTGAGAGTCGCAGGAAGACTCGTCTTGGCCTTTGACGCGGCGGCGTCAACGGCCTTTCGAAGCTTCTCTTGCCTGATCTTGCGCAGGTATGCGAAGAGAAGAACGAACATAAGTTCCATTCTCTCCTTGGTCATCATCAGGAGACCTTGTACCAAAAGGCCCTTGGTAATTTGAGGACCAATGCCCTTGAACAAGGAGAGGGCTCCTTCTTTTTCAATGATATAACGCATGACTTCGCCAAAGGTCTTGAAGGGCTTCCCTTCGCGACCTGGAGGGGGCCTAGACTGAAGACCAACCTTCGCAACGATTAGTGGCTGAGTTGCGATGGTGGCAAGAGCCTTTGAAAGTCCACCAAGGACTGCGCTACCAGTTAGTCTTCAAGCGGTGACCACAGTTGAATAACGCGCGCAACTTACGGAAAGCTTCCCAAGGTTTGAGGCTGTTCTTCCCTGGGAAAATTATGTCCTTCAGGCGCTGATAGGCCCCGTATGTGATTGCCGGGTTGACGACGAGGATCAGACTGGCCTTGAGACCTCTCCACAGACCAGTCCAGCCATCCTCGCTGTTGACAACCTCTTTACCGGTCTCGATCAGGCCTTTCTTCTCCCCCTTTGGTTGTGTTTGTTGTCTTGTTGTGATGACTGCGACCGGAATAGTAAAGATCTGAGCAACAGCACCCGCGATGGCACCCAGACTCAGCTCGACAGCGGTTCCAGGAGGCTTCGGCACCCGATCTGATGCCATATAGAAAGAGCGAACGACGCTGTACCAGTAGAAGTAGGCGAAGTTGGTAGATGCAACCCCGATCAAGGACCCAACCATTCCAGAATATAGACCCTCAATTCCCTCGCTCTCCACGATTTTGTTGATGGCATCCAAAGTCGATTCATAGTGCATCGTTCCGTCTGACCCGTCGGTTTTGTCGCCCTTCACCTGCACCTGCAGTCTCGTCTTGACTCTGTCGATCAATCATTTGCGTTAGCTTCGTAATCTTCAGATTCTGCAACTATAAGAGAAACAACGTACATATCTAGGGGATATACGATCGCATTCGCAAGAACCGCGCCAGTTGCACCTGCAACAGCGCTTCCCCAGGGGGAAAGACGCACGGCTTTGGATTGGCCTGTCATTGTCCGCGACGAGCTAGATTGTACTCCGGTATGTGATTCTTCAAGACTGGCTGAGGGAAGAAGGAGAGAAACAATATCAAAAGACTAGGTCTATTCGATCCGGTACTCAGTTAAAGGCTGGGTGAAGGAATAACTGGCAAAGAGAGAGAGGGAGTATTCTGAGTGGAGTGGGAAGGCGACAATTACTCGTAACACCGTTATCCTTCAGTATGCAGATGGAAGCGAACACACTGGATGCATATCAGCCTAAGTGTAAAAAGAAAATGCAACAAGACTGTATTATTGTAGAGAAGAAACAAGCAGGTATCAACGACTCCGTTCTAACAGTACAGTAGTAGTACGGAAGTGCCCAGCACCTCGGTGGACCGCGCATGACGAAAAGAGCCGAGGTATCTCTGTTGCTTGCAGTGTCCAGCGTGAGTGTCCGGTATTCGCTGCGGTCTGTGTCTGCCGCCTTCACCGCCCGCAGCATTCCCGTTCCTCCCCGCCGACCCATACGCTATCGATCTACCTCTGGAGAGGTACGCCGTATTATTGACCAGGTGGGCTGGTACATAGTTTCAAGGTGACATGCTTCGGCAGCATCATACTATCAACGTCATACATTCGACTGAAAGAGCAAATTAGCACCCAAATATTAGCTGGCAAGACCCATTTTTCCTCGTCTCGAAGATCGGCAAGGTCATCGCATTCTCCTATCCTGATTCCACCTGTTATCAAATAACTGCTCGGAGTCCGTCATACAACACATCGCGGGACGGTGTTGACCTCGGATGTCACGCTCGGAGAATTCCCTGCGACCCCTCGGACCGGTCACAAGCAGTGTCAACCGGCTTTATCTCTCCGCATTCTGATAGGTGGCTTCTGTTAGCGGATCTCTACCTAATGTCTTGCGGATGCTCGTTGCAAGCTTGACAGGCCGTGACGCGTAGTAGATCTGGCTGCACCAATACAAACGCTCACCGAACGATTGTCACCCCTCGTGGGGCAGGATGTCTAGACCCCACGCCTCTTCGCAAAAGACTCTAATTGCTCATGCTCTGGTAGATAATTTCCACTTTCGACTTAACCAGCAAGCAAGCCCTCGACTGACCAGTGATTAGAAAGCTGAACGAGATGTATCTGCAGCTACTTCTCAAAGGCAAGCCCTGGAGGCTGCTATTGACGCCGCTGAGCATTATATGAAAGCTCTGTCTCTGGCAGCAACCACTAACGACAAGCAGTCATTGGATGCGAAATGCAAGGAATGGCTCTCCAGAGCAGAGAAAATCAAAGAAGCCAAGGATTGGCGATCCGCAATCCGGATCCATGAGAGACATGCAGCGGAACTACAGACACCGGTGTCTACGCGCACACTCACAACTCGTGAAGAGATTATCTTGCTTGAAGGCGCCAAGCTGAATGGCTTTATCTTTCCGCCATGGGCAGGGCCTCCGAGTCTAGAAGAATTCGAGCCTAGTGAGGGAGGGCAATTATTCATGTACGTTGGTGCTGTGTTTACACATGAATTGTCTAAGTGACTGCTAACACAAGCTAGTGACAAGCCTGACCTCCATCTGTCTGACAAACAGAAGGACATATTTGATGGGTGGAAGCGGCCTTCGGAGCTGTTGGCGCATGCCGGCGGGGATACGTCCGTGATGTCCGTACCAGACAAAACTGATCTGGTACAAGACGTCTTGACAGACTGCTCTGTTGTCGCCAGTCTCTGCGCTACAACCTCGCGATCGGAACGTGGCCTTGACAAGGTAACCCACTCCGACTATTGATGACTCGTGTCAGGCTCTGACATGAAAGTAGCGCTATCTCCCTGTGATTTATCCATGCGAGTATGACACAGGTCGCCCCAAGCCTTCGCCTTCAGGGCGATACATTCTTCGTTTTTATTTCAACGGATGCTTCAGGAAGGTAGTCATCGATGACCGTCTGCCGTCGTCGAAGACCTCAAGGTCACTTTACGTTGTTGATAGAAATAACCCCATTTTTTTGTGGCCTGCGCTTGTGGAAAAGGCGTACCTAAAGCTAAGAGGGGGCTACGACTTTCCCGGGAGCAATTCTGGAACAGACCTGTGGGTACTGACGGGTTGGATACCTGAACAAGTCTTCCTACATCATGAGGATGTGACTAGCGATCAAATATGGAGGCGTCTCTTTAGATCGTTTCAATATGGCGATGTCTTATTGACTATTGGGACTGGGAAGCTAACTCAGAAAGAAGAGGAAGAACTGGGCTTGGTTAGTGAGCATGATTATGCAATTCTCGATATGAAAGAGTTCAAGGGCCGTCGGCAAATGTTAGTGAAGAACCCATGGGCTGGAGTCGACACGGCTAGTGGAAGGACGGAGAATGCCCTTGCGTCAAACGCGCCTCATGACCGATCGTCACTCTCTCCTGGGACGTTTTGGATGGACTGCGAGATGGTCTTCCAGAACTTTGAAAACCTTTATCTGAATTGGAATCCCAGCCTCTTCAGGTACCGCCAAGATATACATTTTACTTGGGACCTCGCGGCTGGGAAGGGAGTTCCGGGCTGCTTCGTGAAGAATCCCCAGTTTGCAGTAACCTCTGAATCGGGAGGTACTGTCTGGCTGCTCCTCGGCAAGCATTTCAGAACAATTGATCGACCCGGCTATTCTTCATCGGAGGACTCTCAAGCTGGGTTTATTAGCATTTACGTATTCAATACAGATGGTAAGCGTGTTTGTCTAAGTGATGGTGCGCTTCATCGGGGTCCGTACGTGGACTCACCCAACACCCTGATGAGGCTGGAAATGCCGCCGAGAACAACTTATACGGCAGTTGTCTCTGAGGAGTCGCTGCCTGCTTTGAGTCAGAATTTCACACTATCCGCTCTCTCGATCTCCCCGGTGCATATCGCACCGTCACAGAATAAATATACGTGTGTGAGTAAGGTCCAGGGTTCCTGGATGCCTTCGACGGCAGGCGGCAATGCAGAATCAGCTCGGTACCCCACGAATCCGCAGTTCACATTAACGCTGTCGAATGCCACCGATGTTTCCATTTTGTTGGAATCGTCCGACACCGAACTTGCAATACATGCCAAGTTGTTCTTTTCGAACGGAAAGCGCGTGACTAGAGTTCGCAACCGCGACATCATCACTGATAGCGGCGACTATCGTCGTGGGGCGGCTCTTGCTGAGAAGAGACACCTGGATAAGGGCGTGTACACGATCGTTTGTTCCACGTTCGCTCCCGACCAACTTGGCCGATTCACACTCTGGGTCTCATCCATGGTTCCATGCGAGGTCAAGCCCCTTTCTTCCGAAGCAGCAGGACGGCGAGCAGTGTTATCAGATATTGGTGTCTTACCACCGGGAAGAGACAGGATGCTGGCGCCTTTGCAGGTCCCGCGACTTACCCGAATAAAGCTTATTGCGCGCAGTCGCCGTTCTACAATCGGGAGTCATCCCGTTGGCCCTTCACCAGTGCTGATGACAGTTGAATTGGGCCAAGGCCCCTACAAGGAGATTCTGGCGACTTCAGAAGACGGCGATCATAGCGATGCGATATCTGGAGTACGTATTGAAGACTTCGACCTGCATCCTTGTCTTGAAGACAGCCGTGGCGTGTGGATTGTCCTTGAAAGGATTGGAGGCCCCGGAGGTCAGGTAGAAGATCACTTTGAGGTGGAAGCCTTGGCCGAAGAGCGAGTCGAGATCGGAGAATGGTTTGTCGAAGATGCTTAAGAATCGGATCTGGCAACAGATTCTACCGTGGATCTGCGGAGCTGATGAGCGTGAGACCTCTGCGCGATGCCAGGCGAGAGTACAAGTAACGAGACACGAGGATAATGATTTGAAATTCATTTGATTGACATGTTAATTATATCATTCTCTTTAGTTGTAGATTGAAAAATCGTAAATATAAGCATACGCCCGTTTACAGTTACTCCGTACTCCGTAGTGGTACCTCAATTCCCAAGGCTCGGTACGGTGCCCGACAACATTGAAATTGGAGCTTCAACGTCATCCCCGCTTTGTTCATGCGTCCCGCTCCTCCACCCCAACAATCTCCGACTTGGCCATACCCATACAGCCGTTGTTATAATCGATTCATATCCATGACGAGCAATATTCCTGCTAGTCTCAAGTCTGCGGACATTGGGCGTTTCGCGGCGAGAGCGGCCCAAATTGAGCGGGTGAAGCCCGTCGTTGCCTACTGGTGTGAGTGCCGTGCGATTGTACCCTCGAGACACCAACGCTGACGCATGCTCTTCTCCGAATGCAGGTAACTACTGGATAGCAAACCAAATAATAGAGAGAGGATTACACAGATCGGACCATGAAGTCGAACAATATGCGATGGATCTGATGGAGAAGCTGGAACAAGTACGTCGAGTGAATGGAACCCCTGGGGCGATTCAATAGTGTACCTGGATGTTGACATGTTATGGTACAAAGTTCAGAAATGAGAACTCGGATAATGATACAGTGATCGATGCAGTCGCGGCGAATGCCTACGTGGAGCAGTTCGGCTTGGAGGTCTTTAACCGGGCAGATACGACTATGAGGGCCAACAAAGTGACTAAGTGAGTAGTGACGGATAAACGTTAGGATTAAATTGTGATTGACACATTGCAGGCAAACAGCAGACACTTTTCAGGCTGCCGCTACGTTTCTTGAATTATGTCAAATTTGGAACCCCCTCGAACCCGAAATTGCTGCGAAAATCAAGTTTGCCAAGTATCATGCGCTGAGAATTGTGAAGGCGATCAAGGCAGGAGAGGATCCTAACGCAACAAACCCGGTCATCAAGGAAGGCGACCAGACGGAAGGGCCGATTGTAACCGTGGAGGATCTTGAGGCACAACCTGCCGCAGATCTTGCGCCGCAAACGCAGCAACCAACTGTGGAGGAGGTCCCTGATGAATCGGAGCGTGCCGAAAGAGCTATGGCACAGCAGTCATCGCTGGATGAATCGTTGCACCCGTCGAGATCTTCATCGGCTACTCGGCCGCAGCCTACAGGTGACGCGTTTACCATACCCGATGTTCCAACAAGCGCTCCACGGACACCTGCTCCAGAAACAGGTCATGCTGCCGAGCAAGGATCAACCTTAGATCTTCCTTCAGCTCCAGCGACTATTGCCTCCTCTTCGTCAATCCCGAATCTCCCAGACACACCTGCAGGCCTGGGCGCTCATCATCACGCTGATTCGAATTCTAATTCGTTCCATTCCTTTCCTCCTCCTTCCAACCTTCCTTCAAGTCCTCCAGCTACATTCAACCAACCCAGCTATTTCTATAATCAACCCAAGCCAAGCGCCTGGGCTCCTTCACCACCTGCACAACACCATACAGCACCGGTACCAGTAGTATCGCGTCCTGTCCAGCAACCACCACCAGCGGCCGTACCCACGGTCTCGGCTTCAAGTCAAAGCAATTCACAGGGGATAGATGACCAAGCAATTGCTCTAGCCCAAAAGCATGCCCGTTGGGCCGTGTCCGCACTGACATTTGATGATGTTGATACGGCGATCAAAGAGCTCAGAAACTCGTTGAAATATCTGGGAGCAGAGTAGTGGACTCAAAAGACCAATGTCTGCTCTTATCCTTCGTGCTGAGCAAGCCTTGAAGGAAACTTCCTGTACACAGATTAAGCTGTTCAGCTTGGTCAAGTTATGCCTTGCTTCCTGTAACCTTTTGCGCTATATTATGACTATCATGATGCTACATAGCTCGGTTAAGTCATTCTGATCAATACTTAATGAGTCATAAAAAGCTACGAGCTCACTTTCTCAAGTCTAATGTTGCTTATAACAGTGCATGTATGCTGAACGGTAGATGGTGAAAGGCATTTCCACCCATGAAGTATAGGGAGAAAGAAAGCAAGCTAAATATCTTGCTTGCAGTAGCAACCACCTTCTGCATAAAATGATTTGTTGTGAATACTTCGAAATTGCAAAGAGAGTAGAGATTTGGACCGACGACTAAGACAGCCCAACACATGAACCACGAACACACTGCTCACTTCACATTCTCACATTTGCTGAAACACCTCAGGTCTTTATCAACAGCTTGCCACACTCTTTTTCGGCAGGAATGCAACCCACGCTCTCGTTCAATACTCACACCTCGCCTGCCCGAAAACTGAACTGATCACTAACCACACTTAGAACACGCAACATGGCGTCCAAAAGAAGAAGCCAGCGAACTCTTTCCCTTGGACATACCGAGAAAAATGCCATGGAAGAAGCTCTCGACGATGGTGTTCTGCGGCTCAGCATGCGATACCGCGATTTTACGCTGTTTCTCGACTTGAAAGGCCAATATCACAAGGAGTTCCTAGCGCGGCTTACCGAACACACCGAACAATTCGGGTTTGACTGGGGCATGTTGGAGCAATCTAAGCAGGAGCGGATGTCATGTGCTGAGAGCTTTCTGGGCCGGTATGGGATGCTGTATTGGGGTAAGGAGGCGAACAGGGAGAGGTTCCTTATGAAGGATTCTCGAGCTGATCCGGCTTCTCTTTGTGTCTATCCGGAGAGGAAGAAGGGGTGAGTAATCAGTTTATTTTGTTGGTTTGCCGCTGTCTGAGCTGCGTTGACGCTGTGGTAGGATAGTACGCGTGATTGAGATGCTGCTGCAGAAGAAGGCTCGGAGCTTCCTCAAGGCTAATATGGTCAGTGCGATGAATGTGCTCTTTTGATTGCGTGATTGATTCGATATGATGTCTGACAGGAAGGAAAATGCAGACTCCTCAGACTCCGAGCGATGCGCCTGCCCAAACGGTGTCTTCTTCAAGCCTTGTTCTTACCAATGGACTGGCAGGAAGTTTGTCGTCCAGGGTTGGAGAAAGCAATAACCAGCTAGGGAAAAGAAGGGCCCCCGATGATCTCGAAGCCTCGCCTTCACGGCTCAGAGGTGCAGATGCCAGTGCCATTAGGCCATTTAGCTCTATCGATGACACCGCAAACGAGACTATGAGAACACAGGAACCGATCAGCGTGAATGAGGCATCAAGAAACACAAACCGTCCTGAATACTCTGGAACCCCGAAAACGGAGTCAGTAATAACCAATCACTCAAGAATCACCCCTGCAGACACAGGGCGGATGCCCGAAGACGCACTACAACAGCAGACAAAGTTCCTGATATCCGCCTCAACCCAGCCGAACATGGCGCCTGTTTGGGCCCCCTTCCAGATCTTTCAATCTGCAGCATCCTTCATAGCGCACATGGCGGAGGAATGCAACATCCACGAATGGGATCCTAGCACTCAACTGAACAAGGAGATCTCAAAGTGGGACAGCAGTCCTCCAGCACCACAAGCAGTTGTGGCGGCGTCGGTCAAGTTCGACTGGTCCGAGTTCTTCATACGGGTACGCCAGGGCAGGGATGACGACTGGGAATTTGTGATGCAGGAACTTCGCAATTCATGGAGAGTCAAAGGCGAGGATGGAAGCAAGGCTGGGGACCAGCGATTCCACATCCTTGTCATGCTTCATGTTGTCTCTTGAGCTACTCGTTTGGTCTAAGGCTGCAGGACCTATGCTGAAGAACCTACCGTGAGAGAAAGAGAGCATAGGTAAAGTTATGCCAAGTACTGAAGTACAACATTCATACCAAACGTTTACCAGAATTGAAAGTACACTGACCAGCACAATAATTCAGAAGAACGAGTACGCCGAGTCTCACTAGAGGCCCAGCCATTCATTCGACCACAGTTGAGACATGGCGTTCATGCTATGACCAGCTTGAAGGGGGAAATGCGTCATGATCTGGACTAAGTATGCAGGACGCTTGGACATAGGTTCGTTCCTTGTGCAATTCTTGACTCGGAAATGAGGCAAATGAAAGAAAACCAGAGTGAGACATGCCCGCCCTGGTGCATTAAGCGATATTCATTCATTGCGGGATTTAGATCGCCCTAGGCCTGGCTTGAGCACGACGTGGAAATAGCAATAATAGATGGCTTAAGATCATAGACTTTTTAGGCTTTTAGGTTCTGAAGCCTACCTTAGACATGCTTGAGTAAGTTTTTGGTAATTTCAATAGAGGCTTTTGATTCAATCCTCTTATTCCAGTGAGTGTTCAAATGCTCAAGAGTCAAGGCTTATCGAAGTCTACCGCATTTTTACGACGAACCAACTCAGATTGCCCCAGAATAACTGCTATTACTTCGCATGCCCATCTTGAGCTGCTCAATATGGACAAGTAGTACAAATGAACAAACGTCGATCATCCATTTCATATCTCGAAGCGATCAGCTTCGTCTTGAAAGCTTGACCCCAGGCTCAGGCTTCAACTTTGCACTGCCCACCCGGGATTTATATTGCGCAATCCGATCGTTCCTGGAATTGTCCCTCGGTCCCTCACCGTGAGCATGACCAACAATCCTAAAGCCGCCGGTATTTTCTGCGCCTCTTGCGCCTCTTGCGCTATCATTGCTCTTTCGGCCGTGTGGCTTCGTACCTCCTGGTCGCAAACCCACTTAGGGGCGGAACTATGATCGGACGGTGTCCCTGAAGAACGGAGGGCGTCCCACACCGCGTGCTTGGCAGGGGAAGAGATGATCAATCAAAAATTTCTGGGTTCCCTGCAGCGACCAAGCAGATATTGGCTATGCTGGATAGCGGATATCCCCACTATTCTAGCGAAATTTCTAGACGTAGCGCTAGCGGAGTTTGCTCGGGTTGGGAAATGCGAAAGGCCCTCCACCTTTTTCCGTTGGTTCGACACCGTCGT